CATAATAATTGCACATGTGGTCGAATATCAGATATTGTTATTGTCAACCCCCTCTTACTCTGTCACCCTCCCTCTCACTTTGTCACCTCACCACCCCCTTTAACCCTTCCCCCCATATCTTACTGTCACCCCACCACCCCCTCTCACCCAACACACTACATCATCTCCCTCACACTGTCACCCCCTCCTTACTGTCACTCACCCTGTCACCCCCTCTCACCCTGTCATCCCTCACCACACTATGTCACCCACCCTCACTCTCACTCACCTGATCATCCCCTCTCCTCGTCACCCCCTCTCACTCTGTCATCCCTCCTTCCACCCTGTCACCTCACCACCCCCTCTCACCCACCACACTATGTCATCCCCCTCACACTATGTCACCCCCCCTTACTGTCACTCACCCTGTCATCCCCCTCTCACCACCCCTCACACTACGTCATCCCACTCTCACCCTGTCATCCCTCATCACACTGTTACCCACCCTCACCCGATCATCACCCTCTCACTCTGTCATCCCCTCTCCTTGTCACCCCCTCTCACTCTGTCATCCCTCCTTTCACCCTGTCACCTCACCACCCCATCTCACCCACCACACTACATCATCCTCCTCACACTGTCACCCCCCCTTACTGTCACTCACCCAGTCACTGTCATCCCCTCTCACCCATACTCTCACGCCCCTCTTACTGCCACCTCTCCTCATCACCCCCTCACACTACATCACCCCCCTCTTATTCTGTCACCCATACACGTACCCCCCTCTTACTGTCACCTTTCCTCATCACTCTCTCACACTGTCACCCCCCTCTTACTCTGTCACTCACCCTGTCATGCCCTCTCACCCCCCCCTCACTGTTACCCTCCCCACACACTCTGTCACATCTATTCTCACATGGGCACCACTCTCCGCACTCTGGCACCTCCCTCCATACACACTGTCAACACTCTGGCACCCTCCTGCTCTTTTACACTCACCCTGCCACCCCCTGAAGGCAATCATTATACACACTGTCATAAAACATAGCTTCGCCAAAAACTCAGTGCCAAAGGCCGTACACAAACATACACATACTCAGAGAAACATACATACAGATACAAGGATACTCACTGCCAGACACACACTCAGGTAGACAATGCAACGATGTAAACAGAGACTCAACATATCTACAGCTTCTTATACACAAAGTCAACTGCTATTTTTTTTTCCAATAATGGTGTTCGTGGTGGCCTCATGTATGAGTTTCGACTAAGGCCTCGCCAAGTCTAGAGCCGCCACTGTAGTACAGCCATTCAGTATCCAATAGTCTCTTATGCAGTGACTCCTCAAATGGGTTTGCTCCTTCCCTCTGGAACTGTAAAAATAAAAAATAGTTACAACTCACCAAATCGTAACCAGAAAGCATATTACAATGTACTTATTTTATATTATTACAAACTACAATTTCAATGTTGAGGGTTGGAGGCGTAGAATAGAAAGAATTGTAGAGCTTTTTCAATTTTGAATACAAGCATCTATGTGACCCCTTTTAGTTTGTTAGAAATACCCCACAGTTTAAACATAGCGCAATCTGATAGGAAATGGTTCTCAAGTATCCACCATTGTCTGCTATTGTTAATACATAGAAATTTTAGAGGGCTCTCAGTAAAATTAAAATGATCAGAAATTGGGCAGGGAACTTTTTTCTAAAATTCAATATTGGTGAAAAAAGTTTTTTCCCCACAATTTTTGAAGCTCAGCTTTGGCTCTAACGTAATCATTTCTTGACATTTAGGAGTATTCTGTATAACCTGCTATGTGGGGGGAGAACAAACCGCGTGTAGCTGCAACGGTGACCAAGGGAAAAGTCATCTGGGAATCATTTGTCACTCTCTACCTTATGTAGCAGCAAAAAGATATGAAGAATAGACTTTAAAATACCGTACTCACTGCTATATAAACATTAACAATATGGAGGAGTTAATAAGTAAACAGGGAATGGAACAGATTAGACAATTGAACTGCAAATTTTAGGCTAGAATAGATTTGATGGAAAAATAGCTTTCATTTCATATATTTTTGGTCTAAAATTTGCTAAATATGCATGTAGATATGACTAAATTACTAGGTCAGCATTTATAGGCTGTTAAGCAGCCCATCTACTTGATTGTACAACTGAAGCGAATCTTAGATCTAGAAGAATATGAGGAGTGCATAGAATGGGATGCGCTGCGCTGCACAGCACTCACGTTCAACATATAAGCAGTATTGAACATTAAGAGGTGTGACGCTGGCAGGACGGAGTGGGCAACTTTACATTGGGGTGTGCCCCAGATCGGTCATGCCTAGGGCACCACCATTTCAAAAGATGCCACTGTCCTCACCTTAGTGTATTATCTTTCTGTATTGTTTATGCTGGTGTATATTGATGGTCTTACGCTGCACCTAACCAAATAATTTAACAGGTTTTACATTATGGTAGACATTGAATGTGTATTGTCACTTTAAACGTTTTTTGGGAGTGATTTAATAAACACATCTTCTGCAGAGGTCTTCACTGCATGAATGGTTCGGGTCTGAAGAAACTCCTTGGCAAACTGTAACACATTATTACATTTGTAACAGCAATTCACATGTATGATGAATAGCTTTTACAATGGACATGAATGTTTACCATCAAGATCAGAACTCCACAGCTGCTGGAATCCTGCTGGTTGCCGTGATGCATTACATGGATATTCCATTGGGCTCCTTCTTCTTCAAGAAAATACTATGAAAAAAATAACAAGAAATTACAGATAAGTTTTAATTGAAAGTTGTGCTCATCAGTTTAAGTGAAAAAAAACTTTTTTCCCAAGGCTCACTCACCTCCAGTTGTGCTGTACTTTCAATAGATAATTATGTTCATTTCCCAGTGGGTCAATTAGCACAATAACCTTCTTCGACATGATGACAATCTAAAAGATAATTTGGGAAAACACAATTTCCTTTATGACATTCATATTTATGGTGTATACAGCCGGTGTGTTCTGCGGTGTCAGAGGAATGTAGGTAAATATCTGTATATGTAACATAATTACATGAATTATAAAAGCACATGATAACACAAGTAAAGAAAGGTTAATTAACGTAGTCCTATAGTAAATACCACTAAAATCCAGCGAGCTCCGAAGTTCACAGGGCATAGCCAGAGATCTTCCCCAGGAATCCTCATCTGAAGAATACAGAGAAATGAAAAGAAGACATTTTCTTTGTATTTTATATAAAGGCAACAATGTGATTATTTGCTGAACTCATTACCATATGCTTACCCAGATTCCCCCGCAGTAGTAATTTCACTGCAAATTTAAGATTTCCTTGGGAAAAGCAAGTCTTATGGCTTGACAGGCTTAACAATGCACTGACACATTATAAATAAATACATCTCTCTCTCTCTCACGTATGTATAATACGTGTGTGTGTGTATATATGCAGTAGTAGTCCCAGTTGTGATAGGAGCACTCGGGCTGTGACTCCCAAATTAGGGGAGTGACTTCAACAGATTCCAGGTGGGACATCTGAGATCGCTGTCCAGAGGAGAAGATATTGCGCAGAACCCTTCAACTCCCAGGCCTCTGGTAGAGGACCCGAGAATGAGGAATAAACATACCACCCAGGAGAGGGTGAGAAAATCAATTTTAATTTTGTTAATGTGTGTGTGTATGAATAGCTGTTATTGAGACAAATAACTAATCTTTCCAAGTCTATCCAATTTTCCAGAAAATAATGCCGAGGAAATTACTGCATCCAACTGGTGAATAGGTTCCTGTTTAAAAAGATTAAGAGTAATAATGTAGAATAACAATGCAACAAACATACAACACAAGCATACACTAAGTCACACTTGCCTGATGCTTTCCAATCAGGTGATAAAGGTATGCATCAATCACCTGCATTACAGAGATAGAAAAATAAACAATTTTTTATTAGAGATTTTTGCTTTTTTACATTTTCTACAGTGCAGACTCTTACCTCATCAACCAGCCACTCTATCCCATGCAGTGTTTTGAATGACGACTTATATAGGCTTCCACCAGGTCGTCATCTTCAGCACTCCACGGCCCTTTAAATGGAGGGGGGGAAAACAAGAAACTTAAACCGCACTTAAGTTATTTTACTAGTGGGACCCAAAGCTAATACAGGTCGAGTATGCCTTATCTTCAAATTCTAAAGTATTGGTTCCAAATACAGCAGCCATTCTGCATGAGCTCTCCTCATATATGCAAATATTCGTACATCAAAATAACCTATGTTCAAAAGCATTTGTGATAAGGGGGTCACTCAACCTGTATAGGTTCTTTGGTATAATATGAACTTGTAAGGCTAATAAAACAAGAACATAATGCCAAACAGCGGCAACTATAAACAAGGGCCAGAATGGCCAACTGAATGAAAAGGCCAGACCAACAGGGCACGGCCAATTAAATGACCAGCAGGGTCTAAATAGAAAATGAAGACCTTTGCAAATGCTACCTCTGTCTTCCATGCTCTGCTGTAAATTCAAAGATGCAGAAGGCTTAAAAAAAAAAAACAATATTAAAGTTAAGCAACTACATTTAAAAAAAATATTGTACAAACAGAAAGAATATGCTGAGGATACAGAACAAGCACACTGTATGCAAGCTATTCAGGTAGGGAGTTTGGTTGTACCTCCGTAGTGCTATCCTGTCTCTTCGGGGCAAATTGAATCACCGAGGTCCTTTCACTTTGCTGCCTGGGGCATGTTGCTTCTTTACGCCTTCTGTATGGCTTTATGTGGTTAATGTTAATCTTGTTCTTCAGGATAACACCATCATAATTTGCCAATTTAACTAAATTGCCACACAGCTCCTTGATGACATAAGGGCCAAGGAAGTCAGGTTCAATCCTTCCACCTTTTCGACCACGCTTCCTCATGTTGTAGAGGAGAACCTTGTCGCCAACACTGTAGTGTAAGTCCCTATATTTTTTCTGCACTCTGTTGGCATACGCTACATTCTGCTTTTCCTGCGACTTGGCAATGTTCTCCAGCGTTTATTTTTCTCTCGACTCCCTCGATGATTTCCTCTCCTCCATAAATGTTACATAATTCATCTCCCCCGGCAGAACGATATTCGAAAGCTGGAAAACAAATAAAAATAAAAACCAGCTACCGGCAGATCAACAGGAACTTCAGCTGTGAAAACTGCCTCCTTCCCATACATCAGAACAAACGGAGAAAATTTGGTCGTGGTTTGGACCTTTGATCTGATGGTGAATAATGTAGCTTCCAAATACACGTCCCAGTTGTTCTGCTTTTCATTTACCAATTTAGAGAGAGCTCTAGAATGAAAAAAAGAAAAACATTAACACATTTACAAAACTCTACAAAGTAATGTGAAATTTATAGCTCTAATCACTAATAGAAACAAGTGGAATGTAAGTGAGGCGCATATGGCTGCCACGTCCTCTGTCCTCTCATGGTAGGGTTTGAGCATGTTCACGTGGAGCATGCGTCTCTTCCCTACCCCTGAGCAGGGGCCAATCACATAGGTGGTGTCACATCTCTGTTCCACCACCTGGTATGGGCCTTGCCAGATGGCCTGCAGCTTGTCTGTGCGGACAGGTTTTAAAATCAAAACTTTCTGTCCCACTTGAAAGCTGCGGTCTCTGGCTCCCCTATCATACCAGCGGCGCTGGCGTTGCTGGGCTGCCTGGAGATTGGTGCGCACGGCCTGGGTTAGGGCCTCCAGGCGGTCCCTGAACTCCAGCACGTAAGGTACAATGGGGGTCCCATCAGCACTACTCTCTCCCTCCCAATGCTCTCTAATTAGGTCCAACGGCCCTCTCACCCTTCTCACAAACAACAACTCAAAAGGGGAAAATCCGTTCGACTCCTGTGGTACCTCTCTATAAGCGAAAAGCAGATGAGGTAGAAATCGCTCCCAGTCCTTATGGGCCTCTCCAAACGTACGGAGCATCTGCTTCAGGGTACCATTAAACCTTTCGCATAAACCGTTGGACTGGGGGTGATGTGCTGAGTTTACTATCGGCTTAATCTTCCACAGTTGCTGGGTGACCTCGGCGGTGAACTGGGTACCCCTATCGGATATGATCTCCTGGGGAAACCCTACCCTGGAGAAGATTTTCATTAAGGCCTCAGCCACAGTTTCTGCATGAATATTAGAGAGGGCGATGGCCTCGGGGTACCGGGTGGCATAGTCCACCACGGTCAAGATATAACTCTTACCGGAGGGACTAGGCTTAGGCAAGGGTCCCACTATCTCTTCTGCCACTCTACTAAACGGTTCTTCAATAATGGGCAGGGAGCACAATTTCGCTTTGTGACAGTCACCTCTCTTCCCCACTCGCTGGCAAATGTCACATGAGTTGCAGTAATGCCTCACATCTTTGGAAATCCCTGGCCAGAAAAAGGCATGAGTCAGCCGGTACCGGGTCCCAGATGCCCCGACAAAGGAATATCATGCGCAATCCTAAGCAGTTCTTGCCTATACTTTTGGGGAACTACTAACTGCTTAGTCGTTACTGTGACTGATCCCCCTACTACTCTTTCCGCAATATGGTACTGTAGCCCTTTCTTCCAGGTATACTGCTCCCCCTCTAACCCGGCCTGATCTGTGCTTACCCTGTCTCTGTAGACCTGCAATGTGCGGTCTAATTTAACCTCCGCCCCAAATGTAGTCGGGGTATCCCAGGTCATACGTGTCGTATGGGGGTCATTGTCTCTTACCTGAGCCTCAGAGTGTGTTGGTGGAACCGTGGTGCGAGCTTGCTGCCGGGTGGTCACTGGATGGGCTTCCTGGAGTGGTGCCTGAGGTATAAAAGCAGAGGTCATCCGGCCCATGTCATTTCCTAGCACAACATCTGCAGGTAACTTCTGCATTATGCCCACTTCTACCATCCCCTCCCCAGCACCCCAGTTCAAATGTACTTTGGCAGTGGGTAGTCGGTACACTGCTCCCCCTGCCACTCGTCCCGCCACAGATCTGCCAGTGTGTGCTGTACCCAGAACCAAATGGGGGGCTACCAAAGTGAGGGTGGCTCCTGAATCCCAGAGCCCCTGCACTTCTTTTCCCTCCAGTGTCACCAGCTGGTGATGATGTTGCCGGTTGTCAGTGGCTTGTACCGACATCACCTCATGTAGTATTCCCAGGGGTTCCTCTGACTGAGTGCTCAATAGCTCCTGGGTGACTGGCTCTACTTGGTGCAGGGTTCTGTCTGACTTGGTTCCATGCTTGTCGGCTCCGATTCTGCGTGCACTCTCGAGACATATGGCCCCACTTCCTGCAGGTATGGCATTGGATGTTCGCCCTGCCATTGTATCATGAGGGTGGAGCTTGGTTCCCCTGGGTAGGTCTAAAGGGGGTTGCGGTGGAAGTCGTAGGCGTGACTGTACTGGGTTGCACAGTGGGTCGAGGGTAATTCCGATTCAAGGGCCCGTGGTGCCTCCTTGCATCAAAATGTTGATCAGCTAATCGGGCTGCTTCAGTTAGGGTGAGGGGTTTGCGGTCTCTCACCCATTCTTGTGCCTCTGGGGACAAACCATTAAAGAATTGTTCTAACAACATCGTGAGAATAACTCCTCCATAGTGGTGGCTTGACTTGCCTGTATCCACCCCTGTGATGCTTGATCCAGCCCATTCCGCATGAGAATCTTTCTCCAGTTTGCGCAATCCTCTGAATTTGCGCCTGTATGCCTCCGG